CCTCTCACCCATTTATTAGCAAACATGTTCATCTACAAAAAAAAATTGCAAAAGATCTGGATCTGGACAAAATAACAGATATTTTTGCACACAGAAATAAAAAAGCCGCACAGTTTTTGCATTAACCAAAGCGTCTTGGGATTATATGAAGTTGAATACTTTACGTTTCTAACGGGTTCAGTTCAGCAAACATGGACCAGAACTTTTAATATACGAGCCTTAGCTCATCCGTAGCTGCGGGAATTTCCATTTCACTACGTTTTTTCGTAAATACAACACAACTCCTGCTTCAGAATGTCGATTAATTAAGTCATCAATAAAAACAAAACCAATTCAACATAACGAATTAAGGATTAAAACCGTTTTAATTAGATATAAAACAAAAATAAAACGATATTTTTCTTCTAAATGAAAGCGTTCTAAATCCGCGTTTACATTTAGCAAAAATTATATAACATTTGCTTTAAAACTGTTACATATTGCAGATTCTGCTACATCTAGCAAGACTTCCGGGTCGGTGAAGATCAAAGACACCCGTATATCTTTTGCTATATGTAGCAATGTTTTACCCAGATTTTTCGTTTAAAATTTGCTTCATACAGCATTAAACCTGGCTTAAAAAAGTGGGTTCTCTATTGAATTTAGCGTACTACATTTTACATTTCAATTAGCGCGAAAAACGCTGTAGCAAAACAAGTATCTCTATGTTAAAAACAGCATCAACAACAGATCTTGCAAAAAGATACCCATGTATACGGACGGGTACTTCCCTTATTATTACGGTTATTATTACAATGATTATGTTTATGTTTCCGCCTTTGAACCAACAGATCGTTTTTCTAACATTAGCACACCATCAATGAAAAAACCTTTTTCAACCTTCATAACGTATTGCTTAATGCACTAACACTACAAGAGCAAGTGTTACACAAAAGATATTGGCAGTTGCATCATCTACAAAATATTCACGTAAACGTATTTTCACTTTTCTTTACGATTTAGTGCTATATAAACTAAAGTAGGTACCTGCTTTCTTTCAATTATTTATTATGTGACAAGTGAAGAGAGTAATTTTTGAATCATTTTCAGTTTCCCATGTTAATATGAAATCAGACCTTATCTGTTATTTGTTCTTGTTGTTAATATATTAATATTAAAAAGGTAATTCCCAAAATAATAATAACAAACACTTGGATGGAATTAAAAATATATCGACGATTATTTGTATTTAATGATAATACAAAAGCCCTTTAAAAATGTTAATGTAGGTACATTCCACACATCAAGTATCTCTGTCATAAGACTCGTTTCGAATTTTATACGATACTTTAGTGTTTATTCCAGCTATATAAGGTGAATTCCATAAAAATTTGAAAATACACGCTAATTATTAAATTTTTACATTTTTTTGAGAGAAATTTTAGATTTCATGATTCCACAGATTACCCGTCATATTCGTACAGGTATTACGTTTTCAGTGCATTTATAGATTAATTTAAACAGTCGCCATCAGTATTACTTCATTCAATATCTTCATTAATATGTTCCACGATCTACGTCATACATTCTAAGAAGTCAAATAAGTACTAGGACAACGATCTGACATAAAATTTTGAGTTGAATTGATTTAAATTATATCTACCTATGAATATGTATTGTATATAGGACTCTTCAATTCGATAATCGATATTAATATCTACATTATTAATATTCCTTTGACTAGGTACATCTTCTTATGTAATTAATCAACACTGCCTACAGTCATAAAGTCATAATCATTAGTACCTAATACAAAATGTGGTCGTCAAATTTCATTTTATGTCATTTTTTAGTTTCGGCAAAGAAACTAAATTTAACAGTTTCTTCTAAATGTTCACTACCGGCGGATATTATTATTTCTTTCTTTTTTTTACGTATTCGAAAAAAAGTCCCACAAAAACGAGATAATAACCTACCGTGTGATGATTATTAGATGGTAAATAATAACAATAATATAAAAGTCGATTATTGTCAGCATCCGACAATGACGGGCATATTTTTTCTAAAAGAAAAAATAATAATCGAACCAAATGATAGTAAACCCCCCGCCAACAGCGAAAGGGGGGCGTCAAAAAAGAAGAATAACCATTTTATCGACACTACCACTCAACATTTGAACACCTGACTACAAGATCAAGTACATACTCGTTGATAAACCGGATATACTTAAGGGAAATCGAAAACAAACAGTGTTATTTATGTTAAAACTGTTTGTCAAAGAAGCAGCACCACCAAATAAGTTTATTTAGTGGTGGTGGGTTTTTGGATATAAATTGTGCATGTGTAAGAGTAACAGCCACATTAATAAATAGTGATAATTTATTAAAATTTTATTATAATGCAAACGGTTTTGTTGATTGTTGTAATTTTGGCAACTGTTGGAAATATTATTGCCCCATCATGTAAGTAAATGAATGATACCTATAATTTTTTTAGACTTAGCAAATATTTAAAATTAAAGCCCCCTACTTAGGACCTAATTAAGTCTTTATAAACAAAATAAATTATATTCTTATGTAACTACTTATTATCTAAATAGGTAGTTATTTTAAATTTATCTCTTTGAAAATGTGAAATTAAATATATCATCAAATTTTCCTTTGAAATTCGCAAAAAGCACAATATACCTAATATGTATATTAATTAATTGAAAACCAACGCTCAAATTGAAAAAAAAATCTTATGAAATCAAGAAAATATTTTGTATTTTACTTTTGCAGAAAAATTTGCAATAATACGTAAACTGTGTGTATTTTCGATACAATAAACATCAAATAAACTATACTTTATGTACACATAAACCAAACAAATATTTAACATTTCAACATAAATAATTGAAAGTATGAATAACGGAAATCATCGAAATCTACGTACGTCAATAAAACTAATGACATTTCTTTATTCAAATTGCGTACATTACTTTCAGTTATTTTTGTCAAACAGATATTTCGCAAAAATTTCTTTGAACTACGAGTTTTAAAAATCCCTTTACAAAAGTGTGATAAAAATTGAAAGAAGTACAAATACAAGTATTATGTATATTGAAATTTTAAAAACAGAAATATCATTAATGTAAATAAATATATTTCGCGATAACACTTGTATTAGACACCTATGCGGATGATTACGAAAACTCTTTACAAGTAGCATCTTCGCTGCTGATAAATAATCCCTTGATAACAATCACAATAAACGTAACATTACACAGGCGTACTGAACAATCTTATCATTGAATTCTTCAATTAAAAGTTGATAAATCGGACTTTTATGACAGATGCTACCACGCATCTATACTAATAAATTGTATGTAGATAGTAGATAAGTATATTTGTTTCCTAATAGGTACGCTTTTTAATCCTAGCTTAAACAAAGCGTTTTCACATGGCAAACTATTGTATGATTTTATTGGTGACGCTACTAATTGTAGTCGTAATTACAAGTGAGTATCAATAATATACACTTGTTTTACCAAAATATGTTTATGGAATTAACTGTAACATTTTTTTAATAAATAACTACAGGTGCGTATGTTTCCGAAAACTCTAAAAACGTATATGTATTATTAGACGGGACGCCTATTTATTTATCTATTATTGTGCTACTATTTGAAGCAAGTACTTAACAAAACTAATAAATAATATTATAAAACGTTTTTGTGGAAGTCATATGTTATAGGTTATAATTAAATTGCAAAATTGAATCGTACCGCCAGATTTACAATTTTAAAATAGCGTTTAATTGATTTGCTAAGGATTTTTATATTAAATTCATTAGCTTATCGTTAGCTATCACGATCTTATCTATTTAATTTTTTTTAAGACTTTGCAATATGCACTATATTCATAGATTACGTATTACGTAGTTGCTAACAAATCAAAATCACTGCCGTGCAAGTCTGCATGTTTTTAGTTGCGTTTTACCATTACTGAAACCGTTAAGAATTTGGTGAATCCCCTCGACAATAGCACCCGCAGGCACTCCATAGTACGACCTCTCGCAACATCCAACTAATTGTTTATTATTGTGAAAACATTTTTACGTAAAAATACCAAAGTTCAGAACAGGGACTATTTTCAATTTTCGAATATTTATGTATCACCAATCACACGACCAAATTTCCCCTGCGCCACCAAGTAAACAAGATAGTAGATAATAAAATCATCAATGAATTTACTTGTGGATACGAGGTGTAATCAGAAAGTAACGAAATTGCACGCGTTATATCTTGTTTATCGAGTCGTGTATTTTTTAGTGTATTGGTTACACTACCAGCAATACACATGTCAATTATCAGGTAATATGATGCTTAGTTTTTGTATGAGCAAGACGTATATTACTATGAATTTGTGTTAAAAAAAAAAAAGACAAACCGGAACTTTTAAAATGTTGTTTACGAATGGTACAAACCCATGCAGGAAGACCGAAAAGACATTCAAAATGACAGAACGTTTTTGCATTCTAACACGTCCATTAATGACGGAAGAAATATTAACTTCATATTCATTTTTACAAACGTTGATGTGACAACTACATCGAAACGAAGACTCGATTATCTCAATGACTACTTTATGAAAATCTAATTAAAAGACTGAAAAAAGTACGAAAATCAAATCAAGTCAAACGTTAAAGTCCTTCTTAACGTTTTCTTTGACTGTAATGAAATGGTTCGTTACGAATTTTTATCGACTGGTTGTAGGGCCAATAAAAAATACAATTTATAAGTTTGCATAAAACAATCCAGAATAAACGTCGCGAACTTTGGAGAGACAACTCGTGGATTTTGCACCTCGACACTAGACCTAGCTTTATGAAAAAACATTGCATAATACGATAATTAAAATCAATCACTTAAAAGTGAATGAAAGAGACTTTATGAAAAAAATTAAAAATCATCACTACTTTTAAACCACACCTCGTACATTACTTTGTAACTACATATATACGTATAAAAGCAACAAGCACCCACGACAAACTTATTAATTTACAGCCATTCGCAAACGAAACTTCGTTCACGGGTTTCATATTGATGAAGTGCTATTTTATACGCGCATTCGTATTGTAACCATAATTTTTGTGGACCTTTTTTTTTTAATTCGTATTCAATAAATTCAGCTGAGTTATAATCGGGTAGTTCTTTTTTTCATTTTTACCCTTATTTATAATTATTTGCGTTTTGGGCTGAATTTTGATTACTTGCGAATGGCTGTGAGAGGTTAACACCACAAGAGTCTCGTCTAAATAACTTTTAAAAATTTACAATCACAAACATCGATTTCTAAGCAATACACGCAATGCCTCCTGAAAATCAACTATCCAGCATCAATGAAAATTCGGGTATGTTGTATATCATTTTAAGTATAACACTAATGCGTAAATTTAGGATTATCCATAAACTATAAGGTAAAAGTACCACTCAATTGAGTTAGACTCCATCTACGTAAACATTATTAATACATATTTGAAGTTTAACGCCACGTATTATTTTTTCTAGTTTTCCTAATGGAAAGAAGAGAGGTCCCGATTGATTTTGAATTCGTAACAAGAAACGAATGGAAAGCTAGGGACCCCGTACACATTGAAAAAATGAAAAACCCTGTACCATACGTTATCATTCACCATAGTTACATACCCAAAGCGTGCAATACCTCGGACCACTGCATAGAAGCCATGCTTCGGATGCAATCGATGCACATTGTAAGTATCTTAACCATAATCATCATATTACATTTAATCATCAAAAGGTGACATCATCTTTATATAACATGACATAAAAAGAAAAATGTCGACAACGAAATGTGTAACTTCTATGATCGGTGATCGTTTTGCCTTACCTGTATATTATTACAATAAGGACTCAAATGCATGAACCATTTTTTAGTAAAAACCACGCAGTTAATCGCTATGGTTCATTATACAGATAACATCTTTTCTATTGAGTCGAAAAAACTTTGAATTCAAATACATGTACATACTCGTTATCATAAAGTCGTCAGTCTTGGGGCTGGTTGGACACGCACCTCCACTTTTTCCTATCCTGAGCTAATCTTCGTATTTCCCTAAAACATCCCACATCCTTAACTATTTGGGTCTATCTCTGCCCCTTCTAACTCCCGTTTCTGCCTCTAATGTGTCTCTGACTAGACCTTCATGCCTAAGGTGTCCTAGCAACCTATCTCGCCTATTTTTTATTGACTTCCATAGAGTCCCCAGTTCTCCTATTCTTTCTAATTCCTCTTCATTTCTAACCTTCTCTATCCACGGTATTCTAGTCATTATTTATTCACACGAGGATACCTACTAATTAATCACTACGTTAACAATCTGTTTCCAAAACAGTGGCAAAATTTCATGCCACAATGCCCCTCTTCTTCTTCGTCAAAATTTCATCCCTAAAATTATTTACCAAATCCTATTCTTAAATTCAATCGAATTTTTTTTATTTTTACAGGATACCAATAAATGGAACGACATCGGGTACAGCTTCGCGGTAGGCGGTGACGGGAAAGTGTATGAAGGTAGAGGGTGGTCTCGTGTAGGGGCGCACGCGCCCACTTACAACAACAAAAGCATCGGAATTTGCATTATAGGAGATTGGTCGGGTAAGCAATACGAAAACAAACGCACAAATGAGGCCCGTACTTAGGTCTACGATCAAAATTATATGGGGTAACTAATAGTGGCTACTGTTAGCGTCCTTGTTAGTCCTTGCCAGATCTACTGCATGTCTCGTACCTCCGTTTTCACAAATAATAAGTACGCGCCCTATATGTGCGAACGACGACAATTCCCTAATAATCAAAACAAAAGACAGACCTTATCAGCATAGTTCGTTTATTCCCTATGTGCAAAAGTGACTGTGGCGCTGTCTGTGGCCAATTTTCAAACTTCTCAGTGAGAAAAATACGTTTAAGCTAATTTAAATACATTTAAAATAAAATAGTTTTGTTGGAAAAATATCATAATATTTAAACTAGTCAAGGAGGAGTGGTTATATAATAATAATAATAATGAATAAAATTATTCAAACTAGGTTTTTTGAAGATAACTTATTCTATTAAATTTAATCCTCAAACAATTCTGAAAGGTAAAGCTTTGGCCGTTCTTCATGTCATGAGAATTGAAGAATTAGATGGTTGTGACTATTTTGATTAGGTGTAGTGTCATCAGGCAAACTTCAGTTACTTTATCACCTTATAAAGTAGAATTGAAGGCAAGTTAATTCTGATTAAATGTAAATGAGGTTATGATAATATAAGATTAGAAAATTATTCGTCAATCTAATTTCTAATTAGTCTAACATTCATACGAAAATTTATTCATTTTATCAATGTCTAATTTTTTATAGCTCAATAGAGAACTATGTATATTGAAAAATTATATTTATTTTATTATATTTCCAGATATTATATTATATACTGTTATATATTGTTTATTTGTTTAATAATATCTGTTCATAAAATAACGAAATTCTTAAACATACTGTTGCCTTCGACTGCACCTAACGAATTTAGTCGCCTCTGTAATTTGTGTGGAAACAGTGGATTTGCGATTGGAAAACAATAAAATTCGAAACTTGAATTACGCGTTGTATTTGAACAATGAATTACAGAACACGAACAAAGTGCTTTCTGACATGGTCGCATAGTTTGCAGGATAAAACTTAATAAATTGTATTAAATAATTATTTCTTTTGAGCGTGTATAATTTCTTAAGTAATTGGATTTATTCACTGTAAAGTTTCTAAAACCGACACTTCAGGCGCTGGCGTCAACGTGCACATAGCGAATAGCACGCTGGTTAAATAGCTCTCACTAATAGCGTTGTTTTGTTCAATTTTAGACGATTTGCCCCCAGAAAACCAACTGGAAACGGTACATAAACTCATTCAGTATGGCGTTGACTTGGGCATGATTCAGAGAAACTACTCACTTTTCGGTCACCGCCAGGTCCGCGAAGGCACCGAGTGTCCTGGCGAAGCTCTCTTCGAAGAAATCAACAACTGGGCTCACTTCTGTGCAATCGCCCCTTACGTTTATCCAGACAAAAGCAATAACATAAACCGATAAATAATTTAATGTACAAAACGGCATTTCTAAAACCAAGTTCCTTTTACCAAAAAAAGAAGTGCTTCAACATACGTACAAGTGAAAATACAATGACAGGATATTCGGTTTTAAATTACGTAAGACAGATTCGATAAATTTTACACATTTTATCTAATTTATGAAAATTTTTCAAATAATTAAATAAAAACGCACGTATTAATAAACCTGTATCTAAAAGCAATCGGGAACATTTAAATAATAGTGTTAGTTGTAGTCATCAGTAACAGCAACAATGTGATCAATAAAGTTCCTTTTATAATAAAGACAAAATATAAAAATAACGCACATGTATTATTATTAATGAAGAAAGTTCTTTTTTTTTTCTATAATAAACGTACGTATACTCAAGTATACCAACGAAATACTTAATTACACATAAAACTATATAATCTGTAATTCTCTAGCGGAAATAACGAAATCATCATCATGCGCCAGTATAGTAATGAACCAATACTCCAGAATTCTACAGTAGGCATGTTTGCAATGAAAATCGGTGTAGTTATCTCTTCTGATAGTATAACATTCTAGAAATAGCCGACTACTAAAACGTCTTATTAAAAGATGAAACTTGTCTTACGTCTACTTTCGATATCCAGAATGTTATTGTTTAATAGGAATTTTTAATGTTTTTTCTTCATGTCAGTATTCTATCATAAATAATGTATTTGATATTCATTGTGGCAGTAGTAGATGGTATCGATGGTGGTCGAAATTTGGCGGGGTCTAATTGGTATCTTACGTTAATAGTTTTACAATAGTATTTTTTAATGGTAAACAATTACTTCATAAAAAATACCACAAATGGCGCGGTAAACGCCATCTGTAGTACGATGCTACATTTTAGGATTACGTATGCTCCAACAAGGTCCATTTAAATATATAGATATCTAGTTGCTGAAACGAATCCCGGCGTAGCTAAGCTCAACGTGATTGGCACGTTACCATAATCGAATAAAATTATTCGAAGTGGTCTGTATTCTGTTGAAACTGCCAGACACGAATCGCGATTTCGATACTTTTGGATTTCATCAGCGCGTCGCAGACAGCTCCGACAAAACACAGACCAACTTTTACCTGCTGTCTTAACAATGCGAAAAAATATAGCATCGTACTACGGATGGCGTTTACTGCTCCATTTGTGATATTTTCTAAAACGCACTCGCGATCCGCGTCTGGCAGTTTCGACAGAATACAGACCACTTCGAATTATTTTACTCAATTACTTCATAATTCCTGCGATGAAATATTATACAATGAATGCTATTTCAACCGGATTTGATTCCTATACAGTCATGCAAAACTTTAAATACTCATCGCCGATGCAGACGTGGCGAAAATTGCCCATCAATTTACAATAAAATACGTAATTAGTGCCACTAATGAGATATGATTGGCGGCTACCGCTATCGGGCGATTATTTATTTGCTGCTAATTTATTCAAATTACTATTCACTTTTCAATGCCCTCCAACAAAGCGCCAAAATAATATGTTTCACAAGCGAGTAGTAATGAGCGCATGGGTATTTAATCAGCCAGGGATTTTTGTATTTAATAATTAATTAACGAATCCACTCAACGCAAACAGGTAACAAACAACGTATCATTGTAATAATTATTATCTCAACCTTGATAAATTGTTCATTTCATATTTGTTAAAATATACGGAAGGGTCATCCTTCGTCTTATTACAGGTTAGGTTATGATGCGAAAGGCTTTCCTTATTGGGGCATAATAATATTCTATGCACCGAGAAGTGCCATGCACGAAGGGGTAGGTTTGAGTATGAGGTATTGGTATGCTATACAACGTCAACAAATAGTAACAGTATAGGCGAAAACCGTGGAGAAGTTTTTAGATTCTGACTTCTAAGAGTTTCTGTAGAATGTCAAGTGCAATTGAACTGTTGTGTGGTATGTTAGGTAATAATAAATAACTTTAGAGAAGACTTCCAACATCAGGGGGTATTCTAAAACCACTCAAGAAGTCAAATATATAACAGCATTTATCTCTAGTGGAGTTTTACCATATTCTTCAATTATTCATGCATATGAAATATCCATTACAGTGTTGACCTTCGGAAATTTCGAAAATTTTTCATCCGTGATTCCGCTTCCATGATTTTTCATCCCCCGACATAATATCACCGGACAAAATATCCCCGTGACAATATATCTCCAGACTAAATATCCCTAGACAAAATATCCCCCCACCCTAAAAATCGCTATAAGAAATTTTTTCCAATATTTTATTCAACCTAACCTAACCTAACCCTGTCAAACTTGCGTAATGCTACCTTGGCGTACGTTCCCTTCCTTACCAACCACACATCACATGATCAAGCATAATACACTCCAACCCAAGTCAATCCAGCGCAACCTAACCTAACCTAACCCGGTCAAACTTGCGCCATGCCACCTTATCGTTATATTATTTATTGGAGTATCGGTTCGATAATTTATTATGGGGGCTTTTGTTCGGTGATATTTAGTCTGGAGATATTTTGTCACGGGGATATTTTGTCTAGGGATATTTTGTCACGGGGATATTTTGTCCAGGGATATTTTGTCAGGGATATTTTGTCCGGGGACATTTTGTCGGGGGATCAAAACGCCTGATACGTGCGTTTGACAACGTGAACGTAGATTATATCTCGAAGTCTCTGGGTTCACCAGTCGCTGTCGAGACTTCAAGATATAATCTACTACTGAGGATGTCAGCCGCAGTAGCTGACGAAACGTCTGAACACAACAGTTCACTTAGACCACGGCCCTTCAGCCCGAATCTTCATTCTACTATGGATTCCGGCCGTGAAAGCCTTTGTTCTTCTGTAAGGGTGCTTTTGGGATACGGAATCCTAAAAATGAGATACGTCCACGGTTATCTGTTCTAATCAGTTTAATAAATCTGAATCTCCCATTGTAAATTTGGGTAAATAGAACACTATTAGCTTGAAAGTCAAATTTGAAACGAGATCTAAATTTTAAGAGTAAAGTAAAACACGAAAACGCCTTCTATCATAAAAAGATTATACCTATCGGTTAAAGGGTGGGATTAAATTTCTTTCTACGTCAACCATAAAATGCACGTAATATACCATTATCTCGTTCTTTCATAAATTACCCCTGGGGTTAAACGGATCTTTTTGCTTGAATGCATCCAAAATCGTTTGGACACTAAAAGGCGAGAATAAGTGTCTTAAGTTGATGTCGGAATTGAAGTTGAAGGACTACCTATTTGAATTCCCCGCTGCGTTCCCATAAATTCGAAACGTCAATAATAATTTCCACCGATTCTATTGCTACCCTTTAAATTACATTTCC